AGGCAGAGGATAAAGCCTTTTAGAGGGTGTTTCCCAAAGGGTCATGAGGCAGGGAAGGAGTTAAGATAGAAATCCAGACAATCCAATAACAGTGGTTTTAAACGAGTGATTCTTAACCATCGGCAAATGTGCGACATTAACCAGCTAATGTCTACTTGAAGACTGAGGGTCTGTTGAATCGTAATAATTCAAAAAAAATATTAAACCTTGAGAGGAGATCCTCTTCATTAATTTTTGCAGGCCCCAAATAAAAGATTAAAGTCTGAAAAAGCAAAATTAAGCTTAACAAAATTATACTTACCAAAGGAATGTGTCCTCCGGGCTTGGGTTTTCGGTTGGCAGTCAAATGATTCACCTGTAGAGCTTCTAAAACACGGTTGTCAGTGTTCTAAACCCAGCAACTCAGAGGCGAGGCCTTCCCATGTGTGCCTCTTGGTTTGCCCCCTCTGGAGCCTGGGTAACAGGGATTCACCCGCTCATAAAACAGTGACAACCACTGGACGGGAAAACAACTGCTTGGGAACTGAGCTCAATCAGGCCAGCTGTTTGTTCTACTAAATGTTAAATATTTGTTGAATAAATATTTCAAGACTAGACTATGAGTTCCACTACATTCTGCAATCTTTGAGTGCAGGGACCATGTCTAAGACATCCTTTGAACCTCTTGCCTGGTATACAGTAAATGCCCAATGCGTGTTTGTTAACTATATAAGTAAAGGAATAATGAATATATTTGTGGAATGAGAATTCCTGCTGGAATAGAAAGGGCCCAAGTTTTGATATCACAAATCTTCCTTCATATCCTGGTTGTATGGCTTTTGAATTTGGGATCCTTGGGCAAGTTGCTTTGTCTCCCTGAGCCTCAGTTTCCACCCTAAAAAAGAAAAAAAGTAGGCCAACTCCACGTGCCTCATAGGACTAAGTGAGTCAATTTACATGAACAGGCATATGAAGCAGTTCAAAGCACTGGATTCGACTCATGTGAAGAGAGCAAAGTTCCTTCTGGGACTCTGCCACTAGACCCTGGTTCCACTTCCCTGGTGCTCATCTGCTCCTGGTCAGTTCAGACCCCACATCTCAGAGAGATGCAGAAGCACCAGGGGCAGTAGCTGTCACATAACCTCCCTCAAGTCCTTCTGAGTCTTCTCAAAAAGACCAGAAGAACAAGCTATGTTTAATTTTAATTGGTTTTGATAAAAATGTTTCATTTTCCTTTAAATTCATCATCAGACAAAATTCCCTTCTCCCAGAAGCCATACGGGAGTTTGGGTTGACATGACACACCAATGTAGCAAGACAACATAATTTAAAGGAGCCCCGTGGCTTTACATTTGAGGCCGACTGTTTCCCAGTATTTGAGCCAATGCTCAGAGAACAGCTGGGAGATTAGGTACTAACGAAAAGGAAATGATTTGAAATATCCACGCTCTGCTCCCTGCAAATCAGAGCGCTGTGACTTGGCAAGCTCCATCTTTCCTCCCCACCCCTGCCACCCCCGCTGAAATGTGTCTCCATACGGGGCTGTCTGCAGAGCTGCTCTAAGATGTTTACAGCTCTCTCACACTCGGCTTCCTCGCACGCTTGTGTGATAAAGGTTTGGCTTTGTTGTATCAAGCAAAATCACAGAGCTGGATGTTTCCCTTGTCTAAGAAATACCGCAAATATTACATCAGGTTGTGCCTTTGTGTCCCGTGGCTTATCTCACCTTGTGGGCACTATAGTGGGTAGTGGGGAGAGAGGGAGAGAGTTACCAGAGACTCCACGGCGTCACCTGGTCCAGCCTCCTGCCTCTGGGCAAAGAGATGCCTCAAAATTGCTCTGAGTTGAGTTGCCTGGCCTCTGGGGACTTTCTTGCTGGTCCAATCCAGATCGAATCCCCTGATCATCCAAAAGGCCTCCTCTCTGCCGAATCAATTCTCCCCACTTTTGTTTTCTAAGTCCCTAGACTTCTCTTCTTTGGTCTACTCAATACCACGGTCAGTTTTCTTCTTAACTGGCCTTCCCCTTGGGAGGACTAGAATTGGAGAAAGACTGTGTTCTTCTCTCCCAATTTCTCAGGGCCATGTCCACTAAGAACTTCCTACCTTATAAAGCAGCTCCCTTTCACCCTCTGAGGCTGGTATAAATCACGAGCAAGCAAATAATAGCGATGGTTGGGCCGTTACCTTCATAGCCTATTGGAGAAAGCTAGGGACTGAGAACTGGCTCAGTCTGATGAAGGTTTGATTACTGTTAATAATGCAGGAAGGAAAAGAACTCCTTCACAGGCATTTTGGAGCCTCCAGATACTGTGGCTTGGTAGAGGCTTCCCAGCTTCCTCAGGTCTTCATCTCTCCCCATTATCCTGGCATCCAGCACAGAAGACACGAACCAACGCAGAGAAGGAAAACAGCGGCTCTTCTGCAGAAGGCTGGGAGCGGAAGCTGGGAGGAATTAGACTCTTTCCGTTGTTGTTCTTATTGCATATACTTCTCTAACCAGAGCGCTTATACCCCTAGGGGTATATCGTAGCAAACTAGGCGGAATAAAGACACAGAATAAACAAGTTGTATCTTCCTGGGGCGTCAATTTTACTTGAAGATTTAGGGTTAAAACATGCTTATATTAAAACAAACAGATATACATTATGGAATGGAACACAAAATTCACACGAATTTCTGAGATAAAACGTAAGACTTCAAAGAAATATTGTACTGTGGCAGGGCTGCTTCAGGCTGTGCCCCCAAACCCCTTGGGGGGACATTCCCAGGCTCCTCTGGTAGCAGTTACTTTGATGGGTGGAGACATTGGGAGACTGTGGTGGGCCCCACCTCCAAGAGAGGGCCAGCTTCCCTTCAGAGCAGAACAAGGTGCCCCTCCACCTGGATTGCATGGGGAGCCCTGGAACCAGGGAATAAACCAGAAGGGGGTGTTCCTAATAGCAGAGGGGCCTAGCAGGTTGCCGTGGGACAGCTCCAAGAACTTGCTCCATGTTTCAGAGTACTAAAATAGCTGATCTCTCCCAGTCATTGAGATGCATCACCCCAGGGGGGCTGTCATTTCCTTAGAGGAAGTGGAATGGATTATGGTTATCAGGAAAGAAGCAACTAACTCACTTTATTGCAAGGGAACTTAGTCCCTGACTGCTCCCAAGGGACAGGCACACTCACATGCACACCTACACACACACCGAGACGCCACACAACCTAGCTGCTGTGCTCAGAGCCAGCCAGAGAAGGGAGCGAGAGCAAACGTGATTAATGGGGCCACCCCAGGGGACTTGCTGGATGGCAAGCAAACCTGCAGGTACCAGGAGCCAATTTCAGTAACAGGTTTAAGGGAGCCCTGAGATGGGAGAAAAAATGCAGCTGACTCAGCCATTTGGCCTCCTCCATGCCCAGAGGGAGGCTCAAGTAAAGGAGCTAGGGATTGCCAGGGAGGCCGACCCTCCACTTGCCCCTCTGCAGGGGGAATGTGGTCATTGCTGGGGCCAGGGACACTTTCCCATGCACAGAGGGAACTCCATTCTCTGTCTTGGCCAGTGTCAGAACAAAATAATGCTAAATATTCCTAGAGTGCTTCACAGTTTTCAATGCGTTTTCATGGACATTATCTCATTTAATCTTCATGGTGATTTCGTGAAGTAGAATCCAAGAGGCTTGAAGAGAATTTATTTGCTTATTTACTTATTTACTTGCCGTGGAGCCAGGGCTGGAAACCCTGGGTGGCCCTGAGGCTTGTGTCCTCTGGCTTCTTTTGTGTTGTTGCTTCTTTCGTGTTGTTATCAGGGGTAATGGACCTCTTAGCTCTCAGCCTGGCTGAACGCTGAAACAAGACACCCAAGAAGAAGGTCAGGAAGAGAAGGGGCACTGAGGCCACAAAGCCCAGGACTGAATTCTGAGCTTCCTACTTACTACCTGTGTGACCTTGGACAAGTTCTTTAACCTCTCTGTGCTGTCATGAAACGGAGAGAACATAGGTATAGCATAAGGACTGATAAAATAACCTTGTGTTATGTGCTTGGCATAATATCTGACAAATGCTACATTTTCAGTAACAGTGAGATGTGTATTATTACTCTTTGAGAGTAGAAAAAAAATGTATTAGCTTGGAAAGGAACAAGAAAATCTCTTCTGCACCTGGTCGGTCAGGAATGTTCAGAAAATGCTGTTAATCCAAAGAAAGCAGCAGGAAAAACCTAACCCTCAGAATGAATTGTCAATAAAATCCCATTTGAACTAGCAAAGACATTTTTCTTTGCAGCCAGTACCTTGGGCACCCGGTCACTGCAGCTGGGTAACAGTAGGGAAGAGGGAGCATCAGAGAATCTTCTTGTGCCTCTTGTGTAAAAGAAACAGAGGGATTCCAGGGGACAGTGAGGCCATCAGGATGTGCTGGAGGAGAGGGGTGGGGTCTTAGGTCTGCCCCTGCCGTGGCCTCTTCTGAGCCCACCGCTCAGAAGGTGGACGTGATCTATCTTCAGGGCAGAGGCAAGAGCCACTGAGATCCTGTTTGTGCAAGTGTTTCCTGTCCCACCAGCAGGGTCCCAATCTGAGGATGTCCTTTTGTGGAGACCTTTGAGAATCAGGGCATAGGACACTCACAGCAGAACTGGGAATCTGTTTTACAAACAAGGAAGCAGAGGCTCAGAAAGGGAAAGTAATTTTTCCTGGAGTCACACAGCGACTTCTCTTTACCCAACTGTCTGGCGCCCACGTGGGCGTCCCAGGGTGCTGTCCGCAGTTACTGAAAATTGCTGCAAGCGGCAGGCTGGGGCAGGGGAGGTCGAGCTGCATCTGCTGTGTGCTCTCCTGGCTCCAGGCTCAGCGCCAGCCTCAGGAAAAGCGTGTCTTCCGAGGCTCCCTGAGTCCTTGACCAGGACTCGGCACAATGCAAACAGGAGAACAATAGGGAGTGTTTGAGGGAGCCCAGCCGGAGAGGGTATTGATCATGTTTAAAAAAAGAAACACACACTGAGGAGCACAGAAAAACCTTACCAACGCACCAGCTGGCTTAGCTAATTAGTGCGGGCCAGCCGTGTCATCGCCAGCTCCAAGCCAGGAAGCAAACAATTCGCTCAACAAACAGAACATCTAAGGAGGAATAAAAAGAAAACAGCCACTGTCCCCTCACACCTCCAGAGCATCCTGCAGCCCAGGACCGGGAAATGTGACCCAGCAGGAGCCACACTGAGACCAGGACTGAAGTGGAGAATAGAATGTGTCAGGTAGTGACTCAGGTGGGGAGCAGGGTGAGGGGTCCTGGTGCCTAGGACTGAGCTACCCGCTGGGAGCACTGGCCCCAGGCTGGCCTCTGTCTGAGGGGTGTTTGTCATCCTGTGCTAGGATTCCTGCTCTGGAGGGTTTATGGTCATGGTGAGGGGCAGCAGGGGTGGCCAGAATTGGAGGCCTGAACTGGGGAAGTAGGCCTGACCCAAGAGAGGGTTGGGCTGGGCACATGGAGCAGTGTTTGACCTGAGAAGTCAGTCCTGTGGTGAGAGGACTCAGGGTGCCCTTAGTGGGAATGGGGGTGGCAGGGCCAAATGAGGCTGCCTGGACTTGGCCTGTGGGTCTGGTCCTGAGAACTGTGGCCCACAGATAGCACGGCTGGAGACTGAGAGTCGGATGTACTGCGGAGAGAAGGGAGGGGCAGGGAGGGACCCTCGGACCATCCAGGATCCTCAAATGAATTGGTTCAGGCTATTTGGGTTCAAAACTCCGAATAATGCAAAAGAACAGAAGAAAGGGATGATAGGCGGGAGACAAAGAGAAAAAAGAAAGGAGAGAGGGAGGTGTGGAGGAAAGGCCGTGTATGTATTATGTACCTCTGCAATCTCATAATACTTCTGGGAGATCGTTATCACTCCATTTCTAAAGACAAGAAAATGGGGCATAACTAGGGTCACCAGGGTGTAAAAAAATGGTGCAGGTAGACGTGACATTAATACATGTCCCAGTGCAAGGAAGGCTGACCACTGCACTGGACTCTGCCGACCGTACAACCCAATTGAGGGTCCCTGCTCACTGCTGGGCACCGCCTCTCCATCCTGCATCCTCTCCCCACTGCTCAGGCTGCAGGGCTCTTTCTCACACAGGCTGGGAGCCCTGTGATCAGGAGGAAGCCTAGCTCATGAGGTCACCTACCCTCTATTTCAGAATCATTCAGGAGGCAATAATAAGAAGTTTGGTTTTGAATTCACCAGACGTGCTTGAGTCCCTGCAGCCCTACTTCCCAACTGCATGATGCTGAGTGCCACACCCCATCCCCATGGACCTCAGTGTCCTTGGCTATGAAATGGGAGTTCCCTCCCAAGTTCATGGTGAAGGTTAAACATGACATTACATGTGTCAAAAATAGTTCTGCTTAAACCAGATAGCACAAATGTGATGAGGAAACATTGTATTACTAAAAGAGAATCCCAGAGGGTTGAAGGTGAATCTCTTTTTGTTCTTTTTATTTTTAAAATTGCACAATGGGTGGATCTTTCATGGTACTATGAGAGCATTAGGCCACAGGAGTCAGAGAGAGGCACCTAGGGATCTTTTCCGGTTCCTCAAATCCCCTCTTGCACATCTCCTCCCTTCTCCCCTCCCAGGCACACAGGGCTCTGAGCAGGAGCTGTGAATCAGGAGGCCACTTTGTGGAATCTCCCCCTGTGAATGCAGACTTGATCATGTTTGTAAATGTCCATGTGAACGTGCCCACATTCATTCCCATCCATTTTTTTGCTTTTATGTCTCAGTCGATAGTTTTTGGCAATGCCTTTGCAACACCATGAACTGCAGACAGGAAATAAGACCCATCCATTTGTGCTGGTACAAGCTAAAGATTTTCTATAAAGTGCCCACGTTTCCAGGCTGGGGGAATGGATTTCACTGCAGGAAAAAAAAAATATTGTGAGGTGAGAGAAGTGTAGCAAAGGAAAATATTGGCCACTTTAATGATTTACAGAAGCATAAAAAACCTCCTTGCCTGCTGAGATTTCATATTTCCCCTCCTGCCAGTGAGGGGACTAGGGTAGGGGGTCTGATTTGAGCTGTTATGTGAGGAGGCATGAAAAGTCACTGCTGGCCCCTTCCTGGTCATTCTGTGAGCTCCAGTTGGGGCATCGCATCATCTGACCCAAAAAGCAAGGGCTGGGGTGGGGCTTGGGGAAGGAGTAGAAAAAGAGAGAAAGGGGCCACCTTTTAGGTGTGACTCTCTATTCTGTGCAGGGAGTGAGCCCTGGTTACACGTTCCAGATGAGGACCCTGAGAGGCCGGAGATGGGAGGCTACCTTCCCATTATTCCCTGTCTAGTTTGTGGATAACCTGGAACAAAGGCAGCCAGCCCCAAATTCCTTCTATTCTAATACTGTCAATATTGTGCCCGTTGTTATTTGTACATTTAATATAGCAAAAAGACCACCGAGAGCTTCCTCTGGACTGTCCTAACAACATCCTGTGTACCACCACATTTAATTTTCATAACCACTTTACAAGACACGTGATGATTCTCATCGTAGGGGAGGAAACCAGGACTCGAAGAAATTCAATAACTCACTACCATCATGGATTTGCACCCAAATCTTTCTGACTTCAGAACCCACGCCCAAGTCCCTTTCTGGTGGGTGCTTCTAAAGAGTAAGAAACACAGGCCCAGACAGTAAGAAATACTGCTTCTCGGAGAGCTGCCCGAACTCACCAAGGAAGAGAGAGTCAAAAATAACTGGCTTCAGCAGTTCAGAGGATGGAGGCGTCGGAGCAAAGCCCAAGATGGTTAGAGGCAAGGGGGGAGCAAATGAAAAGCGGCCCCTCTCCTGTACAGTCGCAGTAATTTGAACGGCTTGCAGTGGTGAGTAGTGGGAATTGAGCTATTAATAAAGGGAGCCGGCAGAATGATTTACAATCAGACATTAATATGGAGATTTTCATAAACACAGTAATTCACACCCAAGCAGAGTCATAAATGTAAAGTTGCATTAACTATTCTAGTTGGCATGGAATGTCACACACAGTGTGAAATTGAACATTCCATTGTACTGTAATAATGGACTAATGGAAAAATTTTTCTTGGGGGAAGGGAAGAAGGAAAGGGCGGGAGGGGGCATGGGGGCTCAGATACTTCATATTTCAAACTTGCTTATTTCTAGTAAGCACTATCCTTTGCTTTGCCCTTGCCTGATACTGTTTTAAAAATAAGCTTTTTATATTGGAATAATTTTAGATTTTCAGAAAAGTTATAAAGATAGTAAGCACAGGGAACACATCTTCCCCCAGTGTGCCCTATTTTGGTATTTTATAGATCTATGGCATATTTGTCAAAACTAAGAAAATTAGCATTGGTACAATGCTGTTAACTGCACTCTGAATTTTATTCAGATAGTGCCAGTTGTTCCCTTCATGTTCTCTTTTCTGTTCCAGGATTCCATGGAGAACCCCGTGGCATTTAGCCATCTTGTCTCCTCGGTTGCTGGTCTGAGAGTTTCTCAACCTTTCCTTGTTTTTCATCTCCTTGGCAGTTTTAAAGGGTACTGGTCAGGCCTTTTGTATCATGTCCCTCAGTTTGATATTTTCTGATGTTTTCCTCATATTTAGACTGGGGTTATGGGTTCTGGGAAAGACTACCACCGAGCTGAATTGCCCTGCTCATCCCATCCTATCAGGGGGCACATTATATCCATGTGACCTATCACTGGTGAGGTTGACCTTCATCACTTGGTGAAGGCAGGTGGTGTTTGTCAAGTTTCTCTTTTGTAAAGTCACTCTTTTTTTTTTCCCCTTTCCATATTCTGTTCTTTGGAAGCCCGGGGCTTAGTTCAGCAGAGACCGGGGGTGGGAGCTGGGAGGAATTAAGCTCCATCTCTAGGAGGGAAAAACATCTACCTATATTCTTTGCCTTATACTTTTTAAGAAATAATTTTAGATGGAACTTTCTCAATTTTATTATAAAATCCTCTGCCTTCTTAAACAGATTACTTTGAGCATCATTTGACATTTTCATGATGACTTCCCACCGTAAGCAAACTTTAGCCCTCCAAATTTTGTGAACCTTTCCCAGTTCTTCACTCTCCTTGAATCTCTGTAGAAGCTGACACCGTGGTCTACTCTCTCTTATGTAACGCCTCCCCCCATCGCCCTACCATCCTTCTCTTCTGCTTTCTCTTCCTCCTTAACTCATCACCACTCCATTTCCATCTCCATTTCAGTCTCAATCTCTGTTCTTTCCTCCCTCCCTCCCTCCTTCCTCCCCACCATATGTACTGCCCCGGCTCCAATGGACCTCACCTCTCCTTTCTGCCCAGTGTTCCCCTTATCAGTCCCATATGCTTTACATGGCTCAATGATGATCATCGTTCAGATAACTCTAGGTCCGTATCTCTTCTCATCCGCCCATCTCTATGGCAACGATGCCTCCCTCTCAACTCTCCCCGCTAACTCCTCAGCCCTTTTCTGCACTATCTCAACCTCATCCTCTCGATTAGTGAGGACACTGCCTCAGCAGCTGCCTTAACATAACATAAGCGAACACAACAGTGGCCTAAATAATCCACAAAGTTTATTTCTCTCTTATGCAAATATCTGAGCTGGTAGAGGTCCTGGGGGCTGGGCTGGGGTCAAGTCTTTTAGAGTTCCCTGATGTCCCCATGCTACTGCCTGGGATGTGGCCCTTGCCCGCTTGGTAGAAGTTGCCTCTGTACACGTTCCTTAAAGACCTTTGGGAACCATAACAAATAGAAAACATGTAGCTTTTATTAAGGGACTGACCTCAAGGTGGCGGACATTGCTCTGCTCACATCCCATTGGTCAGAACACGACCATATGGCAGCACCCAGGTCCAAGGAAACCCAGGAAATGGTCTCCAACTGGGTGGCTATCCATGCAATAAAAGGGAAAGTGAACCTTAGGATAATTGATTATCCTTTTGCCCTATCTCCTGATTCTTATAACTCTGACCTGACCTAGCTCTCCTCTTATCTTCTTAATATGTTATTATATCGTTAATATTTATAAAGGCTCATCACAGTAACCATGATTAGAAACGTGGATATCTTTGATATTTCTCCGTATTTCACCTTTACAACTTCCCTCATGTTTAAGACTTCTTCTCCCTTCTTACTGACACTACACAGATTCAAACGTTCCCTACCTCCCATCTGAAGTCTTATAAAAATTTCAAAATTTCTCTCCAGGCTTTCAATTCCTCATTCCTCCAAACCATGTTCAGTATGGCTGCTGATTAATCTTAGTCCACAGAGCTCAACTCCTCAGCCCTTTTCGTAAATCCTCAGTGACTTCCTATTGCCAACTCAATAAAGTCCAAATTCCTGACTCTGGCACCAAGGCTTCCACAATCTATCCCAGTCTCTGCCTCCACTCTCCCCAGCTTGTTCTGCACATGTCTTCCCCTTCCTCGGCAAATTCTGCCCCAGCTCCCATTTCTGTTCCTTCATCATAATAAAAGGATAACAGTTAATATGCATGGATTTCTTGCTTTGAGCCAAGCACAGTTACCTCATTAAATACTCATAATAAGAGTGACATAGGCAAGATGGCAGAACAAGACTTTCTAGGGCTTGTCCCCTCACAGAAACATTGATTTGAATAGTAATGCATGCATTATACTCGTCACAAGACCTAAGGAAACCAGGTAAGTGATTGTAGCAACTAGGTATAGCACAGAAATAAGAAAAGACACATTGAACAGTGTGAGGAGGATAGTTTCACATTGTCTGAGTCACTCTTTGCCCCAAACCAAGCAGCACAGAAAGATACTCTCTGATTGGGAGAAGGAGAATGAAGCTAGCACTGGATGATGCCTCAGCTCCCAAAACTGGGCCCATCCCAGCAAAACCAAGCCCTCATAGCAGACAGGCTGCCCTAGCCCAGACTATAACACACACAAATCAAGCATCCAGCCTACTTCAGCATCAGGCCAGTACATGGCCAGTCTCAGAAGACTTAGTCTCAAGGACTACCCTAGAGCCAGGTCATCCCCAATGGACTTAGGTTTTAGTTAGTTTCTGTGGATTCAGGCACCAGGCCCACCTCAGAACACCCAAACTCTATGATCCAGTGGATTCAGGCCCCAGGATCAACCCTGTGGACCCAGGTACTACACCTGCCCTTAGATCAACCTGCCTGGGGACTCCAGGAGAAAACATATCTGAAAATCATGTCAAATGGCCTTCCCAGAATCTCTGAATGGGCTGACCAATGAAGGGCTTCTCTGCTGAAGTCAGTTTGTAAAGAGTAGAATAGGTACCCACTTATTGTTAACACCAATGCATGTTCACTAAGTCAGGGAAACATGACACTACTAAAAGAACAAAATAAATCTCCAGAAACTTGACTATAAAGAATGAAGATTTACAAACTGTATGGTAAAGAATTCAGAAAAATAGTTTTAAAGAAGTCACTGATCTACAAGAAAATACAAATAGTTAAGTAATAGAAAGAGAGAAAACAATGCAAAAATATTAAAAGTTCAACTAAGAGACAGAAACACACACATACACACGCACATGTATACACACACACACACACACACACACACACACACATCTAGAGCTAAAGAAAACCAATGAATGACTTGATAAATTCCATAGAGTACTTCAGCAGCAGACTTGATCAAGCAGAAAAAAGAACAGGTAAGTGCTTGAAGACAGGTCATTTGACATTACCCAGTTAGAGAAATTTAAAAAAAAAAAATGAGAGAAGAAAAGTGAAGAAAGCCTATGGAAATTATGGGATTATGTAAAAAAACAAAACAAAACTCAAATCTGGAGAAAGAATTGAAAATCCCAATCTGTGAAGCCCCCAAAAAGATGAACTATAAAGAGATGTTCATTGAATAATATGATAAACTCTCAAAAATCAATGACAACATTTCAGAAGCAGCAAGGATAAAGGCAAATCATCACATACAAGAGAACTGGCTTAAGACATCAGCAGATTTCTCAGCAGAAATCTTGCAGATCAGAAGAGAGTAAGATCACATATTAAAATATTAGAAGGGAAACAAACAAACAAACAGAAAACCCCTCCTGTCAAGAACATTATATCTGGCAACACCGTCCTTCAGAAAATAAGAACAGAGAAGTACTTTTCCAGAGAAACTAAAGCTGTCAAGAGTTAACACCACCATATCTGCCTTATAAGACATGCTAAAAGAGTCTTCAAGTTGAAATAAAAAGACACTAATTCATAACACAAGCACATGTAAGCTATTAAACTTACTGGTAAAATCTCATTGTGACCAATAAATAAGTTTTAATAGCAAAATAATAAAAATGTTCACAACTTTATAAGATAAATGATAATTATAACTGTTCTACAAATGAGGAGCAGAGGCTCTGAGGAATAAATTGCTCTCAATTCAGTGATCAGGGAGTGATTAGAATGTGACAGAGCCAAGGCTTGATCCTAGGCCTGGGTGAATCCAGAGGCTGTGTCATTGTCCCTAGATTATATCACCTTGCTTCACATTGCTCTTATCAAGATGCTCCTTCCACCAGAATCACTCTTTCCTCTCATCAGCTTGGCAAAATCCTGACCGTCTTCAAGACCAACCTTGAATTCCACTTCTTCTATGAAGATGTCCTTGAAACATCCAACTGGAACTTGTGCCTCTTTCTTCTAACTCCCCTAGCCACACATCTGATCTTTCCCCCAGTACATTAGAGTGCCTTGTAGACATGTCTTAATTTCTATAGACTGGATCCTTAACTCAGGAGGTCAATATTTGGGGCAGTATAAGGCAATATTATTTATGGTTTTTTTTCCTACAAAAAGAGCATTTATTACCTTGCCTTGGTCTCCACATTTAAATACAGCATCAAAAATGTTTTTAAATCTAACTCTTTTTCTCCATCCCTATTATTGCTCCTTTGATTCAGGCCCTCAATATGTCTCTCCCAGACCACTATGATGGTCCCCTAAATCATGTCCCTGGATCACTCTTAACTTATTCCTCTATAGGCTACCAGAGCAGTAGGTTCCCATCAGTATCTTCCTATGAAATGTACTCTAAGCACCTCAACCTGCTACTGAAGACCTCAGTAAGAAGGACCAGAGCTCCCTCTTATGCTCAGAAACACACTCCCATACCTTTCTCAAGCTGTTCCATATTTCAGAAATTTCTTTCCTATCTTTCTTTGCTAACCCTATGTCCGGACTCATCTTGGACAAGAAAACCTTCAAGAAACATTCCATGATCCCTACTCTGGGCTAGTGATGTTCTTCTCTTTCATGGTATATTTATATCTTATGCTCAGATACATCTTTCTCTCAAGTTGAAGTATCTATTTATGTTTCTATCTCATCCATCTGCATGTACACTTTTGGGGAGTCAGGAGCCAAGCCCTAGTCATCTTTGTCTTCCTTGCTTCCAAGTCATTTATTGGGTATTCACATGATATGGTTTGTTGAATGAATCATAAAAACCTATTGGATTATACCTTCATGCAGTGATATTGCCAGGTCCTATTGAAGTTATAGGAATTATTGCTCCTGTTAAATGACCCTGTCTTGCTATTTTCCCCTTTTATCTGTCATAATTTTGTACTGAGGTTGAGAATACCTGTCTATGTCAGTTCCTCTCATGGTAGGACTGTATTGCTTATAAATCAAAAACCCTGGATGGCGACATAGTACTAGAACAAGAGGACAGTGATCTGAGTGGGTTTCACCGGGGCTTCTCTGTCAGTCAATTTTGTGAATTTTATAAAGACAGCAGCAGTGCCTGTTTTGCCTGATTATTTTTGGTCCTGTTTACAGTTCTCAGTATGTTCTGGAGAGATGTGGCTCCAGGATTCAGAGAAGAAAGCCAGAACCCACTGGGATACATCAGGCACCGTTCTGCTCTTTCTTTTGAGTAGGATAATTTTAGTTGGACCAGGACAATTCCAGACATATGTTCTTTGCATTCATGCATTTTATCTGTTTTGATCCCCAGAAGAGCCCTTTGCAGCTGATATATTATCTGGATTTTACAGATAATGAAAGAGATGCATAGAGGTTAATGGGCACATCCAAGGTCACAGTCAGTGAGGAGCTGAAGGATGCTGTAAAAGTCAGGTATCTTCAGTCAAAATCCAGTATTCCCTACACTGCTCCACACTTTGTCTAGACTGGTGCTTTTTCAAGTTGCAGGTTGAAATCTACCAGTTGGTCATAAAATAAATTTAGGCCAGCAACATTTCGAATAGAATAGAATATAGAATAGAACAGAAAAAAAAAAAAACACACCCGAAGAATAAGACAGAAGAGGATAGGGTAAGTATGCCCTATCAGAGAATTAGTATTATTTCATAAAACTTTTGACCTAGGTCACAATATAAAATATTTTTCTTACTATGGGTCATAGTTTGAAAAAATACTGAAAGGCTCTCCTTTTAACTACCTTGCCTGCAGTTGCCAAAGTGACCTTTTGGTTGACAAGTGTGTAGACATGTTTTAGTTCCTGTCTCCTTTGATCTCTTGGTGGAATTCGATACCTTCTACTTTCACCATCACAAAATGCCTGTCTGCCCTGGTCTTTAGACCCCCTTTTTCTCCTGGTACTTGTCTCTTGGACAGTCCTCGTTCTAAACCTTGGTATTCCCTAGAGATGCCCAGGACCCTCATTTCCTTCTGTTCCATCCTTATCATGAACCATTTCAGCCATCATCTAAAAGCCAAGGGTCCCTGGATCCATGAGTCTCACCTTCAGTCCTCTCCTAACCTCCAGATTCATATCTTAATTATTTACTGACCGTCTCCTTCTAGATGTACCCGGATCTCAGAATCAACAAGACCAAATAAATTCATTATGGTCCCTTCAACTCTCCTCCCCTTCTGTGTCAGGGAGGGGCATCTCCATTCACCCGGTCATCCAAACTAATAACCCGGGAGTCCTTCTAGACTCCTCTGTCACTCAAGCCTCGACATCTAATCAATTGCCACCTCCTGTCAATTCTGCCTCCGCTCCACCTCTTGAAATTGTCTGCTCTGCCACTTTCTCATCTCACAGCCTCGTTATCTCTCATGGAACCTCTCTGCCTTTGTTATCTCCCTCCCTCAGCCCATCTTCCATGCAGCAGTTGCAATTCGAAAAATGCAAATCTGACCAGGTTGGTTCTCTTTGTGAATCATCTCGGGATCACTGGAGTGTAGACTGGACAAAGATCCGCGCTTCTCAGCACTACCTGCAGGCCTCTCCCTTCTCGCTCCTGCCTCCTTCCCTGTGCTCCTCACCTGGGTCCCCAGGTTCCCTCAGTGCTGCAGCAGACACGCCCAGCTCCTGTGACCCCCTCGATGAGGCACACACTGTCTCCTGGGCTGGGAATGCCCCCTCCTTCCTCACCCTCACCCGCCCTCTGAAGCTCTGTTTCAGGGACGGCTTTACAGCTACCTCCTCTGCAGGTTTCTCTTCTTCATTCCTGGGGATCCCCTTGGCTGCACCTATGGCCTCAGGATAGTCCCTAAATACTTTCT